TCTGCGCGCACCGGAGGCATGAGGCTTGTAAAGAGCTTTGCAAAAGCCTGCATCAATGCTTGGGCACGCGTCCATTCGTTTGGCGTGCCCATATGGTTCATTTAGTTCAAGCAGATCCCAACAAAGCAATATAGCAAAGTTACACTTCAAAATGGTAATAAGGCTTCAAAACAAGGACACCGTCGCCTCTGTACAGGTTGGATCTGAACATTTGGCGCGAGCGAACCGCTCGACCACCTGTAGGGTCTCTGTCTTGTCTTCACAAAGCAGTTTCTATCTTAGGAAACAAGCCACTTAAAAGCGTACAAAGAAAAACCCAAGTTGATGCGAAGTGCAATGGTTCTTTTCAGCAGCAGGTCAGCAAGACTCCAGTCTGACAAGCTAGACTGAAGTGCCGAGCACAAAAGGAACTAAACTTGGGATGGTTGCTACTCCAATCAAGCTGCCAGATTACAAAGATCTACGAAGCATGTCAGTAACAAGAAGCTACTAGGAACAAAGGCTACTAGGAGCAAGGACGCTATTAGTAGCTCCTGGCCTTACTAGTAACAACAACGCTACTAGGGGCTCCTGGCCTTGCTACAGGAGCAAAAAGCTACTAGTAACAAAGGGCATTTCTACTAGTAATGAGGATGCTATTAGGAACAAATTTGAGACTAGGTTCACCACACAGATCAACTGCCGCGTTGGCAACCGCACCTGCAGTACGTACAACACAGGTGCAGGAAGGCACCAAAAAAGGACCCGGGCTATTATGAAAGAGGTCAAAGCTGCTGCTTGACTACTGAGGTCTAGCTGCACCAAGCTTGGACTTGACTTTGAAAGCTTGGTTCCGGCACCAAGCCACTCATCAAGAGCCGGTGAAAGAGCTCGATACCTCGAACGGAATAGTCCGTCAAAAAAAGGAAACAGAAAAACGATCACTGCATAATTGGTTTTTATGTAGCCAAAATCGAAAGAGGGTCGCCTGGGCTAAAAAAAAAAGCATCGTAGCGCAAACATATTGCTGCATCGTGCACTTGTCATTTACTGATGTCACAGACATGCTTCTCACACTCCAAGGTCCAGACTCAGGTTGTGCATTGGGGGGCTCCTCACTTTAAGACACAAAACTTGTTCACACCAGAGTTTGTACTTCTGTGGCAATAAGCGCAGCCAAAAAGCAACATATTGATCTAGTGGACCGCTTTCGAGCTTCCCTTTCCACACCGTCTGAAGATCAAGGGAGCAAAGGAACCCAGCACCACAGCATGAACAACAACCGCCACCGGCAATGCAGACTTCTATTCCTTAAGTGAATTGTGGTTGAAGCTGCACGTCAGTCCATTAGCGAATTCACTGGATGGTCTACCGTACTAAACTTAAGTTTAGCAAACGAAGTCGTGGATCTTCAGCTCCATTTCGAAGGAGCGGTGACTGTGCAAGTCCCTGTGCAGTGCTTGAACATCGGTTTCTCCTCTTCTAACGCATCATTGGTCTCATCGTCACCGCCAAAAGCTTCCCAGACCTCTTGAATTGGCAATGGGGGGGGTCCCCAACCTCATCTAGAAAACAGTACAAGACAGTAAAGAGTACGCCACTGTGTGCATCCACACTGAAAAGTTGTCTTTGAGTGATACTGCAACCTTCATCTCTTGAGTCCTGTGTGTTCATCCCAATATGGACTTGAGAAGGGAACGCACGCATGCTACCACCATAACATGTTGAAGCTGCTTCTGTTCGGACACAAGATGTCTTATGCATTAAAATAGAATATATATATATATATATATCAATGCAATGGATTTTGTGCAAAGCCGCCTTGATACCAGCGAGCTCAGAGAAGCGCTCCAGATGGAATTCGAAGCACGCAGCCTCGATAAATACTGTAGATCTACAGTATATAAATAAATAGGAAAACACAAAAACATCCAACATCCGCCTCATTCACATACATGCACAGCTTTTACAGATCACAGTCATACTCATACACATTCATTCTGAATCCTTCCAATGGAGCTATTCCTAACCAAAGTAGTGACAACATGTGCTAAATCCGTGCCTCACTCAACTACATACATTTGAGATCTCCAAAGCGATTTCGACAGTGGTTCAAGGCCTCAACATCTTCAGCATCCTCACAGCAATCAATATCCTCCGGACAGCTGTGGTGGCTTCTGCAGAGTTCAACCCTTCCAATCGATCACCAGAATCATGTCAAAGCAATGCACAATACAACGAGCATCTGACCGTTGTCCTTTATTGAGATTGTGCACTGAAATGGATACAACATAGTTGTGCCCTTCCCATTTGGATCCATTCGGTTTAGATTTGGAATCTCCCAGATCGCAATCATTGATTTGGCTGAAGAGTCCTGCATCTTGAGCAAAGGCTCAGTCTCCACGAATCTCCATAAGGTTGGTGCCGTGGTCACCTGTGAGAAGTCAAAAAGTAAAGAATCTCATGTCAAGCCATCTTCAAAGCGAAAAAACTGCGAGTCATTAGAAGTTACTTGAAGTTACTCAAGTCTAAGCGAGTAGACCAGTTTTGTACCAGAATCTCCAAGCCTTCAGGTTGCCAGCGATCCATTCACGCACGTGGTGCAACCTGGTCCAAGTTGACAGCTGTGTTATCATTCATATCACAACAAAACACCTCATGAAACCTCAGTGCTTCGTCAAAACCAGAGGCTCCGGGCAAGGATGGCACTCCAAAAAAAGGCCGCACAGTCCACTGCTATGCGAAGGTCTTCAGGTTTGGCCTAAATCTCTGGTGCCAAACCAACATCTGACAATTAGACTTGATAACTTGACCCTGACCGCATAGGAGACGGTCACCGGGTTCCTGTTTCACATGAGTTGGACGTGATGCGACATTTTGGTTCACCGCAGTTCACCCATCTTCAAAAAGCTCCGCCATGGTGAGACCCAAATGCTAGCATTATTGTTTGGGAACTCGAAAAAGAAGGAGCGCCATGGGCAGCTGACATGGTTGCAGCCGGGCCACCACAAAAGTGCCCCCATGGATGAACTCCAACAAGCGGGCCATTTGCTCCTGGAAGATTCAGCCGATAAATTCTGTCAAAGCATTTCACGTGTGGAGACGGGATCAAGGAATGCCCGAAAAAAAAAAAAAGAACTGATCCTTTGAAATGCAGCTACTGTATGTCTTTACCCAATTCTCTCTCGACCCAGCCCCCCCAAATCATCCACACAACCCAAAACCAGCCCTATCCAATTATGTTTCAAGCTCCCAAAAGGGGGGTCTTCCGCTCCGCTGAAGAAGTAATTTATCCTTACTTTCCTCTCGCATCCTCCCCGATCAAATCTTCAACCTCATAGGTCCTGCCTTCATGTTCTTATGATGTCTTATGTGTCTTTTGTCTTATCAGCTTCATCATGAAGAGATTTTAAGCCGTTGGGTCCCCTCCTCATGAGGAGGTCTAGTCTTGGGGGATCCCTCCTCATGAAGAGATTGAGTGCTCCTCCGGATGAATTTGAGGGGGGGTATCCCAGAGAGTTTCCCACTATTTGGTCCCCAGACTCTGACCTTCTAGGCGGGGACTACTTTGTCTGTCCTAAGTTTTGTGGCTGCATTGTAGACAAAGTATGACAAAGTGTGGCCAACTCCATTGCGGAAACGACTTGGAAACGACTTTCGTGGAACACAAGGTACAAAAAGGGAAACTCAAGGTGCAGCCCGCAGGATTATGCAGGGAGCTGTGGAATGCATGGCCATCATGGCCGGGTCGACAGCACCAAGTTGGCCTCGAACAGTAAAGGATTGGTTTTAGGTTCAAAATCGAGTTGTTGCAGGGATTTGATGTTTCTCTGTCCCACTTTGCGTCTAAAACGATTCAAAATGAAGCTCCAAGGGTAGTACAAAATAGGGCCGAAAGATAGGCAAGATAGTCCACGATTGCTGAGACCGGCGCAAACAATCAAGAATCCAGTAGGGCAGTGTAGCCGTAGCCCGAATGCAAAAACAAGGAGGGCCACATGCCAAGTTTGCTCTAGAATCTGGAATCGTGAGTTTTGCAGGTCAATCGGTGCGGGCAGACAATGTCGCAAAGCACAGAAGAAGCTCAGCAACGCAAAAGCTTCCAAACAGCAATGGAACTCCAAAAGCGCACAGGAGCGAAAGTCAGATGCAGCTCAAGCTCGCTCACAGCCCAATCTTGCTTCTTCCGCCCATATAGCCCGTTTATATACTCATGCAACTACAAAACGTGGCTCGGGTGTCAATGATTGAGCCACTTCTGCACCGGTAACTTGAACAGCCACAACCTCAAAGGGAAACAATGTGCTCAAAGCATTCATTCCAATGCTGCTTGGTCCTTCGGCCAGTACACGGTCACCACAGTCGTTTCATCCCCTGTGGCACAGCCTTGGCAAGAATCAAACTACTTCAAAAATGATGTTCCAAGGTCTTATGCTGCTTCTCATTTGGCCTGATTGAGCCATCCTGCAGGCAGAAGCTTCCCCCTTACCCCTCCCTGGATATTCAAGGTCCGCCCTCCTCTTGTATCTTCTACGTGCCAATCTGCAGCTTCTGGACCTCCATCCCGACCTTCTAAGAGTGGAACGTCGATACAAGAGTAACAAGGTTCGCTACTAGGGGCTCCTGCCATCGCTACTAGGAGCAAGGATGCTACTAGGGGCTCCTGGCCGTACTACAAGGAGCAAGAAGCTACTAGAAGCTACTAAACAATGGAGACCCACGGAACCCTTGAAGCCATCGCTATTAGGTTGGAGGCCATCGCTAGGAGGTTGAAGGCCATCACTATTAGGTTGGAGGCCAATGGCTACATCGCTATATATAGTAGAAAGAATCTTTTGTACGCTGGAAAGGTTGCCCAAGGCCAGTGATGGTGAAACTTCACTGCATGCCCTGCAGGCCCTGCATGCCCTGGCCTTGCTTGGCCTCTGGAACGTGTTGGCGATAAAACTGAGAACTGGAATTCTGAGTTTGTTAGAGAATCTGAACGACATGTGTACTGGTTTTGCTGTGTGTGCTCATGTGTGGAGTCTGTCAACAGTAGGATCTTCGAGCTTGTCATTTTCCAGGACATTTTGCCCTGGCGCGAAAAGACTGCTAAGAGGTCACGATCTCAGAACTCAGTCACTGCTGCCATAGGGAAAGCACTCGGTGGGATCGGCAAAGAAGCCACAACGCACAGTGTAGTGCGAGTAGAACCTTCAAGGCAGGAAGCACGCTTTCAATCCGCAACCATTGCACACAAAATATCTACTGTGTAAGTTTAAAGGAAGAGCTCAGGACTTTTGAGTCCACACAATACATACAGTGATTGGTGGGTCCACCATGTCCACCCTTCACCAAAGATGGTCCACAGGCAGAGTCTTCATTATCTTTGGTCTTGAGGATGCTCCAGATCTTAGCTGTTCCTTCAAAAACAACAGAGTGTTCTGCTCTGCACACAAGGGCAATATCTTGAAAACATTCGAGCCTGTCCGCGCAATGCTCACGAATGTCGTGCGGAAAATTGGGCAGTACCTGCAAGCAAGCTTTAGCAAGCTTTAGCAAGCCTGAGCACTGGATGTGCCCAGCCATAGCGAAGACTGGTCCCATACTTCAGCGTAGTCTCGCTCACCTCTTCAACCCCAATGGTGCTGATCAATAGCAGATTTGCACAAACATGCACAAACAACCAACTTGGTCGTAGCACCCTGGCTTCTATCTTGAGTACCTCCAGTTTCAACCAGCCTTCGATTCTAAAAAATTGGTCTTCTCCTTCTCCACAAATAGAACGGCACATGTGGGCGGCATCCTCCACCACCACCGCCACCGCCACCATCACCACACCATAACACCACACCATAACACCACACCACTCCTGCTGGAAGTAGTTTAAGTAGACGAATGCCCAAACCAAAAGTCCCACCACAAGCAGCATGCTCCTCACCAAGCTCGCGCAATCTCAAGAGAAACACATCATGAATGAACATATTGGTTCCCTCTGGAAGGGCAGCAACATGAGGGAGGCGTGAGGGAGCAATGAGGCTCATCGCTTTCCAGTGGCAACCAACCCTTGTTGTGATGTTTCACGTAAAACGTTGTCATTCAAAAAGAAGACATTTTTTTGATCAGAATGCCATGTGTCCAGACCGCCAGGCCAAGTGGCCGCCTCTCAATGCCTCAGAACTGTCCCCTTACCTTGCTTTCTTGCATGAGAATTCTCTCTCTCTCTCTCTCTCAGGAGAATCGGTCCTTATCACTTCTGCGCTGGTTTCATCCGTTTGCCCATCTAAAGCACTTTTGTCCTCATGACTGCGTCGTCGTCTCAAACAAAAGACTAAACTGCATGGCAAAGAATTAGGAATGTTCCTTGGCTCTCCGCTACCTGTCCAAACTACATAAAGCACTCAACGCAGCGAATGCAATGCAAGCGAAACTTGTTCACCTTTGTTCCGGGCTATGGTGCAACCTGTAAAGTAAAGCAGTGCTCCCCAAAGAAAAGCTCTTCAAAAGCTCTGCAAATCCGCCTTCGGAATGTGAGCGAACTTTGTCAACTCAATAAACTGACCTAAGCGACAACACAGACAACACAAAATTCTATGCACGAAAAGAGGCAAAAATACTAAAGACTCAAGAGAAATGAAAGACTCTTCTCTGAAAGACTCTTCTCCTTCTTGCCGGAATGTGGTGTGCTCTTTCAAGGCTGAGGCTCAGATGATTCACAGATTGAAGAAAGGAATCACGTTCAAAAATCGAAGATAAAGAGGACCAGTCCAGCCAGTCACACAAAGTGACATCTGATGCAATTAAAGCTTAATGTGACGAATGAGGTTGTGTAAGAAACCCTGTACCTTTCCCTATACCACTTTTGACGTTATCGTTTTTGTTCTTCCTTATCGTTTTACAGCACTTTGACTAACTGCAACAAATGTAGTAACTTAGTATATTATATAATGTAGTGTTTGCACTACATGAGTGCTAAAGGTCGGCACTCACGTTTCTTCAAAAATTAGCAATTTGCAGTTTCCTTGAAAAAAACGATACCAATCCCAAAAACGATACCTAGCCTTGTGACGGTACACATTTAGGAATCTATCTTTGCCTATTGAAACTGATGAGATGACACTCGAGACACTGTATGTCCAAGGTTTTTTTCATATGGTTTGCCATGCTAGTTGGACATTCCATTTTGTTTTTGCTCATTTTCCCTTTTCTTTGATGGGAAGCAATTATGGGTTTAGACCAATACTAAAAACAATACCAAACGATACCCACTTCATAGGTCTGTATCCCCTCAGAAACCACCTGGCCACTTACATGCCACTACTACTGCCACTACTTCTACTTTTAGCACCACCACCACCACCGCGACTACTACTACTACTACTACTACTACTACTAATACAACTACTACCACTACCACTACCACTACCACTACTACTACTACTACTACTACTACTACTACTACTACTACTACGACCACGACTACGACTACGACCACGACCACGACCACGACCACGACGACTACTACTGCTTCACGACGACGACGAGGGCGACGACGACGGCGACTAACTACTACGACGTATACTACTAATACTACGTATACATACGTATACTATGTATACTACGTATACCACGTATATTACGCATACTACTACTATCACTACTACTGCTACTACTATACTACTACTACCACTACCACTACCACTACCACTACCTCTACGACGACTACTACGACTACCACTACCACTATACCACTACCACTACCACTACCACTGCTACTACTACGACTGCCACTGCCACTGCCACTGCCACTACCACTACTACTACTACGACGACGACTACTGCTACTACTATTACTACTACACTACTACTACTACCACTACTTCTTCTACTACTACTTCTACTACTACTGCTACCACTACTACTACTACTCCTCCTCCTGCTGCTATACTGCTACTGCTACTGCTCCTGCTCCTGCTCCTGCTCCTGCTGCTGCTGCTGCTGCTGCTACAACCACTGCTGCTGCTACTACTACACTTACTACTACTACTACTACTACTACTACTACTACTACTACTACTACTACGACTACTACTACTACTACGACGACGACGACGACGACTTCTACTAGTCATGATTTGCAATTCCACCTTCCAGAGCAACTTACATTTAGACGATACTCTGAGGGTCTTTATAAGTTGTGGCTGTTATAAGTTACTTAAAAGCTAAGTATAAGTTCACGACGGAAGTTATATGTTCACTTACAACTTCCACAAGTTCCGCAAGTACTACCTGCAGTTACGGTACTTCGTAAGTTCAACTTGGTAAGTTCCGCGGAAGTAAGTTGCGTCACTTACACTGCACACACGCGCTACTTACAAAAACATTGAATTTTGAACTTATACTCAGAGTAGCATGTACATGCACGCAGCAGCGTCAATCCGGCTCAAAACGCGCGTTCAAACCGCGCTCGAGCAAGACTTTTGGCATGAGTGGTTGCAGTTGGGAACCTTGTTTGAAAGCAATGGAGCAGGCTCTGAAGATTTTGGAGCCCAGCCAACAGGAAATCAGGCGGATGCATTTGAGCTCGCTAGCAGACCATTTGTCTCACGCGGGAGTACCTCCGGAGGAGGAGGCAAGCCTGATAGAAGCTTTAGACTTCTGCGCCCAGGAAGAACAGAGAAATTGATGGCTGCTTGCGCCTGGGGACGCGCCTGAAGACGCGCCCGTGGACGCGCCTGCAGGACGCGCCTGCAGGGGACGCGCCTGAGGACGCGCCCGTGGACGCGCCTGCAGGACGCGCCTGTAAAAGGCGCCTGTAAAGCGCGAAGACGTATACGGGAACTGCGCAGGGAAGTCCGGGCCCCCATACGCGTGGAGTGCACACCGCATGCGTCCGGGGAACTGCGGGTTCCCAGGACTGTCCTCCGCGTGCAACCGCGTGTTCACCGGGCATGGTCTGCGCGCAAACGACAGGGAACTGCGCGTTCCCAGGGAGGGCGCGCAGCAGGGAACTGCGGGTTCCCAGGACTGGCCTTTGCAGGACCACGTGTTCTCCGGGCACTGTCAGCGCACCAACAACTGGGAAGTGCGCAGCTGTATACGCAGCGCGTGTCGCCAACACAAGGCGAAAGAGAAGGCAAGCAGCCACAAGGCAAGTATAGCGACAAAGGTCACACTCACGCGCGCAGAACAGGAGACAATAGCGTTGTCTTCACGTTCTGACGGACACAGAACGCACACAGTCGCGGTCAAGAAAAAGGAGGTTCCAGCAGCGCCATATCGCGTTCAGGGCATGTACGTTTTGTGGTTTTTGGCGATGTCCGCGGAACGTCCGCGGATGTCCGCGGGACTGGGGCTGCTTATTAAAGTAGATAGGGGCCAACGTCCGCGGAACGTCCGCGGCCTCTAGTGGATATTTCTTGAAAATAGGATATTTGTACGCGCGCAGGCTTTCTGGCTTGACGCTGTTTCCGCGCGCATATTATTCGCCCCTGGACATGGCCGACGCGGAGACGCAGAGACTAGGTTGTAACAAAGATGGGCGCCGCGCGCGCGCTCTGGTGTTGACCAGGGACGGGGCGCCCGCGTGGCGCACTCTTCCTTTGCGTTGACTGCGAGTCAACTCAAAGACTGGCTCGTCGGAACATGGGACGCGCTTGCAGAGCTGCTCAGAGCTCCGACGGCTATCCTACGCTATTGCACCGCTTGATTCCAGACAGGTTCAGAAGTTGAGACGCCTTCAAAGCCAACACCAGGAACTGTTCCGGAGAGCTTGGGGCGACGACCTGGTGCGGTCCAAGCATCACCACAGATTTCACATTCCCAGTGCTTGCGAGCAGTTGCGGTTCTTGCCGCACTGCGGCATTCAAGAAAAGAAGCACCAAGAAATCAAACATGGTCTCGTCGATTGCTTGGAAGGTTGCTGCAGAGAGCCACGCTTACTCGTTTGGTTCTGCGCAACGGCGAGGGCAGTCAGATATATGGCATGGGCGAGTGGGGTCTGGGGAAACCCGAAAAAGAGGCCACGAAGGAAGAAAAGCTCTCTTTCAGGGACAATGGACTTCTCTGCGCAGACAGCGTCTTCATGTGGAAGAGAAAGATTACCGTGGGCGACATGGTCTTGCTCACTAACAATGTAGCCGGCCAATTCATCAAGGAGGTTTGCGGCCCTGCGTGCGGGCTGTATCTGCACTTGCAGACAATGGAGAAAATCACGGACCACCCATGGGGTAGTCGATGGAAGACATCATGCCTGAAGAAGTGGTGGAAGCCACAGCCAGAAATCGACGTGACGCTTGCTGCTTGGTGGTGTTTCGTAGGATCCGACGTGTGTTGCCTGCATTAGTTGAAAAAAGACTGCTCGAGAGCATGCGTCATGGTGTCTAAAACATACAAAAACGCAACAAAACAGTGAAACTACGCGGCACATACGCGGTACTCATGCGCTCCGCGTAAGTACCCCGAGTAAGTTCAACTTAAGTGCACGTATAACTGACGCAACTGCATGTATAAGTACCGCAAGTTATAACGACCCTCAGAGTACCTCCCAAATTAAAGGACCGGATAACCCCACATATGAATCTTTACGAATCTCAAGTTTCCAAAGCAGTCTCAATAGCTTCTACAACATGGCCTTGTCAGGAAATATATCAGAATTACACAACAGAGGGGTGGGAGAGAGGTGTGGGAGAGTAATGCGCACGGTGGATGTACGAGGTATTGCGCAGAGATGTGTGTACAGTGTACAGCCACAACTAGCCGAAGTAAAACCCCATGGCTCTGCCACTGGAGGTTCACAAACTGCTGCGCCTGCCACGAAACCTGCACCTCGAGCTTCACAAAGCGCTGCACCTGCCACGAAATCTGCACATGGAGGTTCACAAAGCGCTGCGCCTGCCACGAATTCTGCACATGGAGGTTCACTAAGTGCTGTGCCTGCCACGTAATCTGCACATGGAGGTTCACAAAGCGCTGTGCCTGCCACGACATCTGCACGTCAAGAAACAAATGAAAACTCTAAGGAGGGACGGACCGGCGACCACCGGTGACAACCGCCGACAACGCAACCGCCAGAGCCTCTAACGGAGCATGGAGGTTCACAAAGTGCTGCGCCTGCCACAAATTCTGCACATGGAGGTTCACAAAGTCCTGTGCCTGCCACGTAATCTGCACATGGAGCTTCACAAAGTGCTGTGCCTGCCACGACATCTGCGCGTCAAGAAACAAATGAAAACTCTAATCACAATGGAGGGACGGACCGGCGGCCACCGGCGACAACCGCCGACAACGTAACCGCCAGAGCCTCTAACGGAGCATGGAGGTTCACAAAGTGCTGCGCCTGCCACGAATTCTGCACATGGAGGTTCACTAAGTGCTGTGCCTGCCATGTAATCTGCACATGGAGGTTCACAAAGTGCTGTGCCTGCCACGTAATCTGCACATGGAGCTTCACAAAGTGCTGTGCCTGCCACGACATCTGCACGTCAAGAAACAAATGAAAACTCTAATCGCAAAGGAGGGACGGACCGACGACCACCGGCGACAACCGCCGACAACCGCCGACAACGCAACCGCCAGGGCCTTTTTTTAACGGAGCGAGATCTATTGCATTGCAATTTACACTAAGATGTGCGTGGTCTCTGTGTGTGTCTCTGTATGTATTGTCTCGGTGTGTATGGTCTCTGTGTGTGATCTCTGTCTGTGTGATCTCTGTCTGTGTTGTCTCGGTGTGTGTTGTCTCTGTATGTATTGTCTCGGTGTGTATGGTCTCTGTGTGTGTGATCTCTGTCTGTGTGATCTCAGTGTGTGTGTCTCTGTGTGTGTGTTGTCTCGGTGTTGTCTCTGTGTGTGTGTGGTCTCTGTGTGTGTGTGTGTGATCTCTGTCTGTGTGATCTCTGTCTGTGTTGTCTCGGTGTGTGTTGTCTCTGTGTGTGTGTGGTCTTTGTGTGTGTGTCTCTGCGCGCGTTGTCTCTGCGCGCGTTGCCTCGGTGTGTGTGGCGGAGGCGGGAGGCGGGAAGCGGGATGAGACATAGAAAAGAAGAACCCCACACTAAGATGTGGGGAAAAAATGCATATGGATTGAAAAAAGGACGATACCAATCCCAAAAACCATACCTGCCTTAAAGCTTCCAAACGACCCCTAGTTTTGCCGGTCGCACACATGCATGTGGTGTGTGGAACCGTGCAGGCATGAAGACATTAGGCACACTTAATTCCAACTACACCGACGTGGCGCCCTGCCTACAAAAAGGTGTTTTTGGCTCGGTGTGTTCTGCTATCGTTTTTGTTACGTATCGTTTTCATGCCTGGCGCAAGTTGGAAAACCATGTGGCATAACAATGCTGTAGAAGGCTACAGCGGTCCAAGCCCTCCCACCTGTGTCCAAGCACATACCCACCAAGAACAGTCAGCAGTCACGCATTGACCCTGACAATTTGGAACACTAGTAGGTTTTCTGTTTGTGTGTGTGTACACGCGTTTTCTTCACACCACTTCTTGCATGTCAAGGGTTTTCCACAAGAGTCATCGAGGGTTATCCTTCTTTTTCTTCCTTATCGATTTACAGGGGATTGAGCATGCTTCCAGAAAAGGGGACATGCGAATACTAATTTCTTACATGGGAGGGCTGTATACTCTCTCAAATGAAACACAGGGTCTTTTGGTCTTCCCGATTCCCTGCCTCACATGGGGGGGCTTCCCTGCCATTCTGCTCTTTTCGCATTTCGCGAAAAGTCTCTTCGCTTCGCAGCTTCGCACCCAAGGGCGAGACGGACATCCAAAGGCGTGAAGGCCTCGTGCATCAAGTCGTCGATGCCTATGACCTTAAAAGACAGCGGCAAAGCCGCGACAGCGTTTCGTCGGAGTTCCATCTCCGGAACTTCAACTGGCAAACCGATGAAATCCGATGCTCAGGTGTTCACTGGTGTATTGACTGCCGTTAGCTGCGAGTTTTGCTGCCTACCTATTACAAAGGTCTGCAGGATTCATTTCTGTGTAGGTTCCGTATTTGACAACACCTTTGGCTGAAATTTGGCAAGTAATTGAATATATATATATATACATATTATATATAGTATAACTATTCAAATTTGCTGTTCACTCTTGGGCATGTTCAATGCACATGCACGATCTGTTTGTCTGGTTCTTCTTTCCAATGTTTGAAGACCTGCTCACAGCCAAGCTGCAAATTCCAACGCCAAAGCATTCAAGATCAAATCGCCGAAGGACTGGGTCGCAGCGAGCCAACGGCATCCAATGTAAGTGAGCAACGTAGCCACCACAATCCTGAGAGATGCACTAATTCACACTCTTCTGAAAACGGGAAACCTAAGAGTAGCAAGAAGAGTAGCTGAAACAAGTAGCAAAAATACACTTACAAAATGAAAATCCCTGCTGGTATTCAGGTGGAGAGGCTGGGATCCCGATCCAATTCTACAAACAAAATGACCCCGAAAAGTGTGTGAGCCATTGGGGAGAGAGGTATGTGGAGGGTTATACAAATTGGAGGAGTCCAAGGCCACTGTAAACTACAAAATGGTTTACACTGCACTACAAAAGGGACTCGTTTTAGTAGTAAACGTGAGTGCGTATGAATCCTCTGAATGTACGCGTGTCCAAGCACTCGCAAATCATGACTGATTTCCAATATCTTCCTGATCGTATATTCTGACTCTCTACTAGACTACACGCAGGACCTCCTATAATAAATAAAGGAGCGCATCCACTGAACATGAATCTCCCTTTCACTACAAAGTGGTTAAACCCATGCCTGTTTGCAACAAACATAGGGGGCTGGGCACAAGCACCCTCCACTACAAAATGATCATTTTGTACGGGGGTCAACACCCGGCATTCTCTAGGTTTACTATCATCGAGGATAAACAAAATAAGTAGCAAAACAAGCAAAGAGTATCTAAATCGCAAGATTTCGTTACGACTAAGGTCACTAAGGCCGCAGGAATGGTTAGGGTTCAGGTTCTTTAAAGAAGCTCCTCCCCTTTGGGTTCAGCGGTTCAACAGACTGAACATTGCACATCATTTTGCAAGCCAGGGTCCTCTCAGAGATCAATCAAAAAAACACGTGACAAAAATTACGCCAGCATAGCCCGTCTTAAACGCGCTCAGCCAGCTCACAGCACCAGCGCCCAGGACCACAACACCAGCACCAGCACCGACACGCTTTCGAAAGCGCGCGCAGCCAGCCCATTCTTATTTGCAGCAAGAACCCCATAGCTATCCCTACTTGGGGAATAACAACGTATGATCTTGCGCGTATAAGTTTATGCGTGCAAAAGTACGCGCGCAAACAGCAAAGCCCATAAGTGTCATTGGCCCAAGGCCAAGCAGTATCCAGCGCCACTATTGACTTTGTAACTTTGTAGCATGATTGAAGCAACGACCTGCAGAACGATAAGGCCGCATGATCTTGCGCGTATAAGTTTATGCGCACAAAAGTATGCGCAAAATCGGCAAAGCCCGTAGGCTTCATTCACTCGCCCGAGGCCAAGCAGTATCCAGCACGACTATTGTGCGCGTAGCATGCTGAAACATGCTGGTACAATGGTCGGTTGAGAGCCTGACGCATAGAACATTGTAATTACGTACAAAAGTATGCGTGCAAACAGTAAAGCCCTTGACACAGCTGTCGGCCAAAACAGAACCTGAAGGGTGTAAATACCCCACAGCACTAGTAGACAAAGAACGCTCAAGCGACAACACCGTATGATGTTGCGTGCATAAGTTCATGCGGCCCATGACTGCTTGCACTTCATTGTCAGAAGCGGCGCTTGGTCGCCCTTCACTGCTGCAAGCGGCGGTTTGCTACCCTTCGCTGTCAGAAGCGGCAGTTGTTATCACTTCACTGTCAGAAGCGCACCAGCACCGAGCACCGGCGCCAGCTCACGGCGCCCAGTACCAGCACCCAGCACCGGTATAGCGCCAAGCACCAGCACCCGGCACCCTGTCTCCACCACGCGCACAGCCAGTTGATATTTGAAGTGAGAACCCCATAGCTTCCCTATCTGGACAAAAAAAGATGGCCACATATATGCAAACCACACCACCAGCACCGGCACCCAGCACCAGCACCAGCACCGGCACCCGGCACCCAGCGCCAGCACCGGCACCCGACACCAGCACCAGCAACCTGTCTCCACCACGTGCACAGCCACAGCACCAGCACCGGCACCCGGCACCCAGCACCAGCACCGGCACCCGGCACCAGCACCAGCACCCGGCACCAGCACCACGTGCACAGCCAGCTCACAGCACCAGCACCAGCGCCGGCGCCCGGCACCCAGCACCACCACCAGCACCAGCAACCTGTCTCCACCACGTGCACAGCCACCGGTGCACAGCCAGCTCACAGCACCAGCACCGGCACCCGGCACCCAGCACCAGCACCGGCACCCGGCAACAGCACCAGCAACCTGTCTCCACCACGTGCAACAGCCAGCTCACAGAACCAGCACCAGCACCGGCACCCAGCACCAGCAACCTGTCTCGAAAGCGCGCACGGGCAACTCATTATTACACCAGCATAGACCCAGCCAGATAGCTACACAGAATCCCACAACCTGTTGACATGGGACTGGCTGGAACAAGAATGTACGCAGCCTGCGCAGCCAGCCTCCACCACGTGCACAGCCAGCTCACAGCACCAGCGCCGGCACCC